TTTCTTTTCTTTTCTTTTCTTTTCTTTTCTTTTCTTTTCTTTTCTTTTCTTTTCTTTTCTTTTCTTTTCTTTTCTTTTCTTTTCTTTTCTTTTCTCGGCCCGCGTGCTGTTGACCCCGCCGAGGTCACACGACGCGACGCTGGCTGCTGGAGAGCAGGTGGGGCGGCGCGGGGGCGCGCCCGGGCTCTGAGAGGAGAACAAATAAAATGAGGAGCCCGCAGAGCAGCAGCAGCAGCAGCAGGAGCACAGCACGAGAAGCAAAAGGCGTTTACGGCGCACTGACCCGGGCGGCGGGCGCCCTCCTGTGTGACAAGCTCACCTGAGTCACCTCCGGGCACCTCCCTCTGCCATTCTAATTTTATTACGATTATGATTATTTCCCCGGCAGTGAGGCCGTCGCCGTGCCGGTCCCGGTCGAGCGCCGCGTGGAGGACACACGGCCGGCGCGGCTGGGCAGGGCGGGGGGCGGGGGTATGGCGATGTGGTGATGGCCGTGTGATGCGATTCGCACAGGAAGTGCAGGACGGTCAGCGTGTTTGTGAATGCGTACGTGTGTGTGTGACTGTGTGTGTGTGTGGAGGTAGTGACGTCAAAGCTCGCGGACAGCGCTTTATTTTTAGCTTCGTCTGCTGCTGTTCCAGCTTGGAGGCGCGACGAGCGTCCTGTCACGGCCTCGGTGGTGGTGGTGGTTATAGCTTGAGCGGGACAGTTTTGGCGCCCATAGCTCGGCGCGCGCTCCAGAAGGGAAGGGGGGGAGGAGGGGTCCGGGGTCCGTGTGTGAGAGAACGCATACATCGCTTCCGGCCCAAAAGTGTTGGTGTGTGTGCGCGTGTCCCGCCGTGGTGCAAGAGCCCGGCTCGGCTCGGCTCCTGCTCATTAACATGCTCCGGCTCGGCTCAGCTCAGCTCGGCTCGGCTCGGCTGGCCGTCGCGCCGCAATGCGTTATGTGCCTTGCGTTGCGCTTCCCTTCCTTGCTCGGCGCGGGGCGCGCGCGGGGCGGCCGCCGGACACGCGGCCCGCCTCCTGTGGGCCCGCCGCCGCCGCCGCCGCCAAGGTCCCCACCGTTGAGACACATGCGCACCTGGAGCCTACATGGACGGCTGCAGCCGGCTTCAGCCCCCCGGCCCGGTGGCGCATCTTTCGCAAAACCGTCTTGCGGTGGGGGGGGGTCAGCCTGTCGCGACTCTCAATCAGACTGGGGTGCTTTACTCTGTTTTCCACGGTTCTTCGCAGCCGGGGTGCATTTTCATTTCATAACTTCAAACCTAACACGCTTGACACGCGACCTGGCGTCACCGCCGTTTTTGGGCTGCTTTTATTCACTGACGCCATGGTGGCCGTCCACAAACACATTAGACTTTTCTAACGGTGCCTCTCTCCCCTCTCGTCCTGTTGCAGGTGGTTCCACGGGCATCTGTCGGGCAAGGATGCGGAGAAGCTGATCCTCGACAAGGGCAAGAACGGCAGCTTCTTGGTGCGGGAGAGCCAGAGTAAGCCGGGCGACTACGTGCTGTCCGTCCGCACGGACGACAAAGTGACGCACGTCATGATCCGCTGCCACGTAAGTTATTGGTTCCGTCTGCGTTTGGCCGTCTCTGTCCTGTTTTGACTCTTTCTGGGACGGTCTTGCTAACTGTCGTTCTTTTTTTTCCCCTGCAGGAAAAATTCTACGACGTGGGGGGCGGGATGAAGTTTGACAGCTTGAGCGAGCTCATCGAGTACTACAAGAAGAACCCGATGGTGGAGACCAGCGGCACCGTGGTGCACCTCAAGCAGCCGTTCAATGCCACCAGGATCAACGCCTCCGGCATCGATGGCAGAGTTAAGGAACTGCAGGTTTGTGCCAAGACTTTAAAAGAAATAAACACAATGACAGTCTTGTTTTATCAGTCATACCCAGAAATGCCTCAATAGTCTACTGTTTTGCAGAAAGAAAACGGCCTCTCCATGGGGAAAGCAGGCTTCTGGGAGGAGTTTGAGTCATTACAACAACAAGAGTGTAAACATCTATTTTCACGCAAAGAAGGACAAAAAGCAGAAAACAGAAACAAGAACAGATATAAAAATATTCTACCTTGTAAGTTCTAAAGATCTTTTCTGTACATTTACTAAATGTAATATTTAAAAACTGTAATAAACCGTATTTTCTTTTTTGCAGTTGATCATACAAGAGTAAAACTAAAAAATATAGACCCCAATGAACCTGGAGCTGAATATATCAATGCAAATTATATAAAGGTATTAATGAATCATCCAACTAAAAAGTTTCAATTTACTCTTTATTGAAAATTTTAGTAATTAGAGTCCATTATTTTCAGCCTGAAGAAGAGTCATTACCAAATGGACCACCCAAGCAATACATTGCTACACAGGGGTGTCTACCAAGTACAATGGGTGATTTCTGGCACATGGTTTGGCAAGAAAACACTCGAGTTATTGTTATGACAACAAAAGAAGTTGAAAGAGGAAAGGTGAGTTGTTGTTTTGTACAGGTTTTGAGGCAAAACCATGTATCTGATTTTTGAAAGTATAAATTACATGAAACTCAAAATCACCCAGTTATATCTGACCTTCTCGATTTCATTTTCAGAATAAGTGTGCAAGATATTGGCCAGAAGAGGGGCAATCAAAAGAGTACAAGAAGATTAAAGTACGGAATTTGTTAGAAGCTAAATCAGCCGATTATACATTACGTGATTTTGCTGTAACACATGAAGATGGAGGAGACGAAAGAAAAGTCTATCATTATCATTTCCAGGTAAGCCATTAATTATTTTTTTTATTAGTTTTTAAACATATGCTTGCTTTATTCTTTTTTACTAATAAAATAAATTATTTCTCCTTTAGGCCTGGCCTGATCATGGTGTACCTGCTGATCCAGGATGTGTTCTCAACTTTCTTCTTGATGTAAATGCAAGGCAAGAGTCAATAGTAGGTGCAGGACCTGTTCTTGTGCACTGTAGTGCAGGTATTGGTCGAACTGGAACTTTCATCGTCATAGATATGATCTTGGATCAAATTAAAAGATTAGGTAAGGATCTTGTATTTTCCCATGTATTGTATTGAGGAAATGTGTCGGCTTCCCAAGTATTAAAACTTACCGCTCTGTCTTCCAGGATTGGATTGTGAAATTGACATCCAAAGGACAATTCAGATGGTACGATCTCAGCGTTCAGGAATGGTGCAAACTGAAGCCCAGTACAAATTTGTGTACCTAGCAGTCCAGCATCACATTGAAACCGCATCACACAGAAAACAAGCAGAACAGGTAAAGAGCTACGCAATCGCTGTATTCGTTGCACATCGATCACCGTCCTCGTCCTCGTACGGAAAGTCTCACCCCGTACTCATTTCGTTTTACAGAAATGCCTGCAGCTGGGCCGCGAGTACACGAACATCCGCTACCCCAGCGAGGCGGTGGCGGGCGCGGCGGGCGCCCAGCAGCAGCAGCAGCCCAACTCTCTGTCGGTGTCGGAGTCGTCGCGGTCGCTGTCGCGCTCCACCACGTCCATCCCGGGGTCGGTGGGGGCGGCGAGCGCGGGGGTGGGCTCGCTGCCCCCGGGGCTGGTGAGCGGCGGCGGCAGCGTTGGCGGCGGCAGCGTGGTGGGGGTGAACAGCGGCACCCTCCTGCGCAGCGTGTCGAGCTCGGGCGCGGACCGGTCCAATGAGTCGCATCTCCCCAGGTACGGCGCCCAGGCCCAGCCCCGGGCCGAGCAGGCCGGCGGCGGCGGCCCCAGGGTGGTGCGGGTGCGCCGGCTGCTGTCGTGGGTGTAGCGGCAGCGCCCTGGGGCCCAGCGTAGTTGTTGAAGCCACACAGTACAAGCGGGAGCGGCGGCGGTGTGATCTCTGTCGCTCAGCGTTCCGTCTTCCGGACAGGGAGCGAGCGAGTGAGTTCTCAACGGATCCGCGGATCCTCTCCCATTCTCTGTTCTCTCACTCTACTTATTTGCTCTCGTTTCAAAGAGCCTTTATTGCTGAATACCATATAGCCCTCTCCTTCCGCCATTACAAATATCTAGATGACGTTCATTAAAGTAAAGGAAAGTTTATAATGCAATATTAATGCTGATTTCATTAACAAAAGAGTGAAAACTTATGCCTTGTGCAATGTTCAGCCCCTGTGATACTGCTCTGCTATCTCGCTCTCTCGTCTCCCCGTCCTGTTTCCCCCTCCTCCGTCCACGCTGTTTGAGAACATCTGTGAACACCTTGCAATCCTACTTGTTAAACAATAATTTCCATATTAGGAATTTTTCTGTGTACATTTTGTTTCTTTATTTAGTGTGTAATATATTTGAAAAAACAAGAACAAATTTATTCTCCACATATTAGTTTAAATAATCTCTCTATTAATTAATGCCTGCTATTCCTTCATTTCGCTGATTTCATTTTTGGTGGTTGTTTTCAAATTTGTACTGCATCTTTCTTTACTGTCATCCTAAATCTAACACCTTCTTTTCGGGTATTTCAATCAATCCATTTTTTACCCTTAACTAATATTGACTCTTTTGTGATGCTTTGGTCTATTTTAAAACTCGAAAGGTTTTCTGAATTTTCTTTGTTCTGCACTCTTGAGCGTGCATTTTTTTCAATAATTAATATTATTTCAAATTTATGTAGTGTAGTCAGCATACACACTTAGATATCCTCAATATAATCTGTATGTTTTGTTTTTTTCCAGACCACCAGATGAGATTCCTAGGACCATATACGAGAACATTCCATTGAAGGAGCGCAAACTATCGACGAATAGTCACGTCTTAAACATAGCACCTGTTACTACTGGTGGCAATCCTCCTCCACCACCACCACGCAAGGCAACCTGACTTGCAAGTCACAACAATGAAGCTGTGTCCAACCTGAAAGCCAGCTCCCGCACTTGCATTAGCTCTCCATCAAGCGCCTGTTCTTCCAAATATGAAATTAAAAGTACATATGAATACGCATCCATTTTGAGGCTTGGCAGGGAGTGTGAAGTGACTTTATTTACTCGTTGTGCGGCCAATTAAATTGGTCATTTTTTTCCGTTAATTAGTGCCTACTACTTGTTCCTGCTGTGGAACACACGGGGTGGATCGGCTCGGCCGCCCCGCGATGAACTAGAAACTGGCTTGTGTATATGTATATATCTGTGTGTAAAACACGAGTGATATCAGCTGTGAACCGCACTCTGCATTGTGATCATAATTGTTAAAGCTGTGTATGCGTCTGTGTAAATGAGAGATTCCAGAGCAAAAAGTCAAATTGTTGCATGTATGTATGTGTGTGAATGTGTCTGTTAAGGGGGGGAGGGGAAGGGGAGGGAGGGAGGTTTCTGCTTCTGTATCTGCGTGCTAAAGAAAATTTAAATATATTATCTGATAAAGTCATGCAGAACATACCTATATCTACGTTTATTTTTTTCAAACTTACCTTCACAATTAACACTAGTCACAATGATAATACGGTTTATCCCTCCTAGCAACTCACCTCACTGTTATTACAGTACACCACTCGCGCCTGTAGTGTAGGCCGCATTTATGCTTGTGGTGCCAAATAAGTTGCCTATCCACCACCTCGCAGGAGCACACCCAAGACGGTAATACAGTAGAGACAAAACACCTTCAAGACAAAGCAAACACACACATATACAATGTTTCTTTTATATTTTACCAGTCAATGGAAAAGTAGATCACGACCACAGGCCACTAGTCCAGGATGTTCCAGATCTCGAGAGCGAAGGGGTCGCCTATCGGGCGTCCAGAAGATTCCAACGAAAAAGAGGGGGTGAGGGGGGGGGGGCAACAGCACTAGTCTCTCCCCATACTAGTCGGTAAAAAGTTTAACAGTATGAACCGCCTATCTTCAATTCGTCTACCCCCTCCCCCCCTCTCCCCTCTCTCTCTCTCTCGCTGTTTTGTCTGTACTAATTTAGGCTGCACCACCCCGGTCGTTAGATAAGGTCTGCAGAGACTGTTGCCAGTGATGTCCCTTACACAAACATAGCTCAGGACGAGTCTCGCCCTCATCCCCCGGCCGCTCGAGCCCACCGCTATTAGAGGGGAGCGCCCGTCCGCCACCGCCCCTGCACGCTGCCCGCCCCGCCCCACCCCGCCCGAGCAGCAACAACCCCCGCTTCACCGGCCCGCCGGCCAGCTCCACTCCCCGCGCCATCACGCCTGCTTTCTGGCGCTGCTGCTGGCAGTGTTAGCGAATTTCGCGTGGCGTGCGCGCGAGTTCAGTCGAGCCGAGAGTCGGGACCGGTCCACGTTCAGGGCGGGAAGGGAAGTACCGCAGAGAGAGAGGGAGAGGAGGCTGCTCCACCCGCACCCATAGGCCAGGGCCCAGGACCGCACAGCAAGAGTCGCGGCGCAGCGAGTCGGTGCGGGAGCGTCGCGGCCAGTCAGTGCCCCGTGCACAGCAAGTGGAACCTCGGCATGGCGGACCAGGAGGTGTCGTCCATTATGGTGAGTCCGGTGTCTGTGTCGTCGCGGCCGAACCCGGCGCGGAATGGCGATAATCCATGTCACCGCGATTATCGCTAACGTGTCGATCTCGACATGTCTTCGATATCGCACCCGATGATATATCACATTCCGCGACCTGGGGATGCTTCTCCTCCCACGGGATATGTTCGCTAGGGCTTTGTATGTGGCTTCTCATGTATAGCTGTTAGATTAGAGAGAGGTTTTGAGGAAAATGTTGCACTGCTTTTCGTCACAGCTTTTAGCAGTTCAGTGAACTCGGGCCGTCCGTGCACCTTATTGGGTATCCCTGCCTCGTTACCTTCCCTCAAACAGTGTTCCGCAAGACGACCATCGAGTTGTATGCAAACTGGACAAGAATGTATCCAATATCATACGCACACTCGTAGTTGCACTGTACTAAACGCACGCGAGCGGGCGGGCTTGCCCATCGTCGCTGACCAAGGCGCCTCAGTGCCCCAAACGGATAGGCAACCCGCGCACACGCCTGCATGCGGTACAGTATAACTTCAGAGCTGCTTGCGGTTAATCAGCCACCTGGTTTAGGTAGTTTGTCAGAGCCTGCTACTTGAGCTCGTCGAGATGTCACCATCAAGAAGAGAGCAACACTGTTCACTGGAGCCTCCATAGAGTCCACCTCGCCTACCCCGTCGACCTGACCCTCTGGCGCCCCCTTTGCTCCGGCTGCTCGCGCCGTGGGCGCGGCGCGTGGGCAGGACCACGACAGCCAACAACCATCAGATCGTTCGCACATCGTCCCGGCCCGTCCCCGGCCGGGCGCCCCTGGGCCCTCGCCACTCCGCTTCCCAAGTGAAAAATGCGTGTTTGGGTGGGCCGCCCCTCGGGCTGGCCTGGGGTGAAGCAGCCAGAACGGGGGGAAGGGAATGGCTTTGATGAAGGGAGGTCTCGGACCGGCCTCGTCTCCACTCAGCGGAACAGGCAAAACTATTTGCTGCCGCATTCTTTATTTAGCGGCGGGTTCCTCGCCCTGTGGCCGCGAGGTCGATTTGTCAGGCAGGTGGTGCTGGTCACTTCCGCGAGGCGCGGGCGAGGCGGCCGTGGACACCAGGACCGCTGACTAAGTACGGGGCGTGGGGAGGGAACTGAAAGCCGAGGGCCGAGGCGGGGCGGG